AAAATCATCGAATGACTGCTCCCGCCTGGGTGAGGCGGGAGGGAGTGTCAGACTCTTACTGACTAAAAACCACCCCGTTCCTTCTCCTGCACGTCGAGCCGGAGCCCCGGTAACCCGTTAGGTTCTCCGCGACAATATAAGAAGTATAAGATTATTATTTACATCAGATCTAATTATTAATTACTATTATTTGTGATAAGGCCGCGTAATAAGCGAGAATTAAACATTATTAATCGAGAATTTTTCACATAATACAAGATTACGACTTTTAATCTAATCCGTGAAGGTATACAGAGGTGTACAATACGCCGTCAAATCTATTTCGTTTTCGTACCGAATTAAAATAGTTCTGTCTCAAAATGTTTAAAACAAAACTGGTGAACCACATTATCAAAACATCACGCCATGTAATAGGCATGGCGACTATTTTTTAATTTTTTGTCCGTCTTTTAGATATTTTAAAAATCTTCGATACGTATTTTTTCTTTTTTCTCGTATCCAAAAAAACATGTAGATATTTTGAATTAAAATGACGCGTGACGTCACACTTAGGTACGATTTCTCCGTAAGTGTGACGTCAACACCCCCCACTCCCTAACTTTAACGCGGAATAACTACGTATTCTTCTGTTAATTTGATTAATCAAAAAATACGTGTCTGATATTTTCGTGCGATCTTAATGACGGACTAATTACTTTTTTGATTTTTTTACCCTGTCGACACGCCTATTCTAGAAGAGGTATTTCTCGTTGGGTGACACGTACGATGCAAATAGTGCCTACTTACGTCTAATGTTTCATATGCTTAGGTCGATGAAAATATTTTTTAAACTAAAAAGAAATGGTATCATTATTTTTGTTTCTGTTTTTACTTTATACATCGAAAATACTCCTTATGGCAAGGTATTTTGACGCGAGACGAAAACGAAACAGATTTCACAGTAACATCCACTTTTCACTATTTACGTTATAGACTCACCCCCTATTACATGGGACTCATAACACAAATAGTGAAAAGTGGGTGTTACATTGTACAGTGGCATTAAGTGCCGTAATTTGAACCTCTGCTTACGCCTTCGGGGATAAAAAGTGTGATGTTAGGAAAGTGCCGACTCACGTTCTCGAGCGAGTTTTTTACCCGCAAGTTGACGAGTCACAGATTGTTGTTCCGGGTCTGTGTGTCATGTGTATGTGAACTTGTATGTTTGTAAACGTAAAGTGAAAGGTCAAAAGTCCAATGGCACCGTGAGTGATGTTCACACTGCAATGCGTAAGTAATTTCATATTAATGTGCATACACACGTGTGCGGACGCATACGATACAAGTATGCATGCGCATGTATATAAGCGCTGCAGCGCAACCGATAGTAGTCTTACGGTGGCAGTGGACTTTTGACCTTTGACAATACACACGACACGAGACAATCCTAGTATGTCTAACGACTGTATGAAATATATGAAGTTAAAACAAAAAATCATATTTTCAAATTATAATAAATTGGCTTATCGTCTATTAGGGGTCCCATATCATTCATTTTGGGATCACAGGGAGGCCACATGGGGTTCTGGAGGTCCATATCTTGGCCTGGTTGGGGTAACTGGCCCTGGAAAGAGAAAAAATATAATTGTTATTAAACATAATCAGTACAGATACAGATGATGACAGGGTATTAAAATTACATCACATCATGCCTTTTACCCCCCGAAGGAGTAGGCAGAGGTGTACATAATGCCACTGTATACAATGTAACACCCACTTTTCACTATTTATTTTATGAGTCCCATGTAATAGGGAGTGAACATATTGCCATGTACCGGGCACAATAGGGTAGATGCTTAATTTTAATTTTAATGTCCGTCTGGTAGATTATTTTAAATCATTAGACACGTAATTTTTATTTTCTTACAGAGACGAATACTTTGAAATGTCGCGTGACGTCACTTCTATGTACATTTCATACGTAGAAATGACGTTTTAGCCCCCACTCCTAAACTTTGATTCGTTTTATCTAAGTATTGTTTTATTATATGACAAAATAAAAAAATACGTGTCTAATATATTACCTAACTTACGGACTAATTCGATTTTTAATTTCAATAATAGTCCATTATTATTGCGGAGCTTGAAGAAGAACAAGACGGACTGTTACGGGACTCTCAGACTGAATCGGGAATTCGTTCCTGATACAGTCAAGACTTTGACGAAGACTGACCTTCGACAAGGTGAAGTAGTGGCTACGTATTGTTCCGATTTAGCTATTATGGTATGGCGAGACGCTAACATAGTTAGTTTGATCTCTACATACCATAATCTCCAAATCGGGGCACATGACAAGTACAATAGACAGACATACAAACCAAACATTGTACTAGACTATAATAAGAGCATGGGAGGAGTTGATAGGAAAGATCAATTCTTATCAGCTCATCCCATGGAACGACTTAAGAACAAGGTTTGGTATAAAAAACTTTTCCGACGAACATTCAATGTGGCCATATTCAACTGCTTTGTGATATTCTCCAGTTTTCACCGGAAGATATCACATCGACAGTTCCGCACTGAATTGGCCGAAGACTTACTCAGACGACATAGACAGATTGACTTGACGACTGAATGCCGACGTTTGAGCGTAAGACCGAGCACGACTGCAGTTCAACGCACCATTCGACCCAAGACGCAAGCCAGACCGACTCTTGACACCAACCATTTTCCCATTCGGACGGGGTCGAAGTACACCTGCTGCTGGTTGTGCCCGAAAAAAACTCGAACAATTTGGAAATGTGAGGAGTGCAATGTCAACCTTTGCATTGATGGATGTTTTAAGGCATACCATAAATAATAACTATTTTCATTTATTTACATTTTATTTACATTTTTTTTACAATACTTATTTTTTATAATACATTAAGATACGAACAAACTGCCTTTAATTTAAATATAATTATTAAAATTTGTATATATTCTATTTTCATTTTTTTTACATTTATTTTTTATTAAACAATAAATAATGGATACCAACAATCTGTCTTTCATTTAAATATAATTATTAAAATTTATTTACATTTTATTTTCATTTTTTTTTACAATATTTATTTTTTATTAAATAATAAATAATAGATACCAACAATCTGCCTTTCATTTAAATATAATTATTGAATATTTTCTATCCAATAAAATACCAACCGATTCCTCAAACAAATTATAGCGTGTACGGACCCTTAGATAGTCGGCCATCTTGCCGTGTTTTCGTAGTCAGACGCGATACCAAATTCATATCGGAATGGGTAGTTTGTTTTGATTTATTATGTTGTACTGTTAATTCTAAGTAATGATATATTGGCATCAAAAAATAGGTTATTTCATCTAGTTTATTATGACGTAAGTAACATAGAAGTATTTTACGTAATATTTCGAAAAAACTTGTAATAAACAAAAATTTTACTCAAATTTCACCATTATTCTAAAAATAAACTTATTTTTGTACTGTTACCGATAAGAGTGACTATTTAATTTTCACATACTTAGATTCCTTATAATGTCAGCTTTATACAGGTATTTTTAATTTGTTGTAGCAGTTGTAGATTGGTAGAAAATAGGCTTTAAAGGGGTGACGGTATTGGGCGCTCGACGGCGTCGTGTGTTCGCGCGCGCGCGGGCGTTCAAGGCTATAACGGCTGTCAGACTCGGGCGTCAGAGTGGATATCCTGTCATGATCCCAATTCCAGACTCCGTGGTACTACTGAGATTTTTTTAAACCCAGTTATACTTTGCCCGACAGTCGCTTTTGCGACCACACGGCCAACGAGGCAGCTGACTGCCTAGTTGGCCGTCGACCCTGAGGTCGAGGTATTAAAATTAAAGTAAATAGTTATGTATTCGATTTACTCACGTAATTGTATGGCGAAGAACTTGACTAGTTTCTACTGTAGTGATACTACTTCGCGCCGCGTCGCGGTTGGCGGCATTCTACTCATGAATATGAGCCTCTACCATGGCTTGAAACTACTCAAGTTCCTCGTCAAATAATTACCTACGCGAGTAAGCCGAAAACATAATAATTAATTTAGTACGTCTCACGACACTTTTAATATAAAAAATTAAAGTTGCTTATGAAACATATTTACAGAAATTATTTTGGTAGAAATATGTCTATCACCGCTATTATTTTAATTATTAAATACTAGCGACCCGCCCCGGCTTCGCACGGGTGCAATATGCATGTCATCAACAGCCTATAAATGCCCACTGCTGAGCAAAGCCTCTTCTCACACGGAGAAGGTTAGAGCGTTAATCACCACGCTTGCTCAATGCGGGTTGGCGATTTCAAACTTATAATTAGAAATTATAAGTCCAGGTTTCCTCACGATGTTTTTCCTTCACCGTTTGTCAGTGGTGTCTAAGTAATCTTAGAAAGTACATATAACTCGGAAAAAGTCACATTGGTACTTGCCGTTGGTAGGTTTCGAACCCGCACCCTCATGCATGAGAAGTGGGCGTCTTAAACGTCCGGGCCACCACGACATATGTATAATACATGCAATATGCATGTATTATACATATAAACCTTCATTGAGAATCACTCTATCTATTAAAGAAAACCGCATCAATATCCGTTGCGTAGTTTTAAAGATCTAAGCATAGGATAGGGACAGACAGACGGCGGATGGCGACTTTGTTTTATACTATGTAGTGATTACAATACGATTTCCGTCGAAAATCTTGTTGTAAGTAAGATAACTAATTATGAGTTTTACGTAAATACGTCTTAAGTGTGGGAGACCCATACTTCGGCACTGCTGAGCCGGCACGATGAGGTAACCGGAGGCCCAATTACTCCCCAGTCTCCCCAATCCCCGAATCCCCCAAAATTCTCAAATTCCTAATCATCAAAAGACCGGTAACGCACTTGTAACGCCTCTGGTGTTCCAGGTGTGCATGGGCGACGCCCATTGCTTACCAGTGTCGACCCATTGTCGACCTCATCGTTCGCTTGATAAAATTAAGTGTAACCTATTCGCAGAAATAAATTCACTTGTTTCATTAGATATTGCTTATAAATGTAAGTCTTGTAGAACCATTGTAACAATAAACATTACAATTAAATTCTTTTTTAATTAAAATCTTGATCGCCGTAACTTAACTACTGTCGAAATAATTTATTTTTGACTAAGGAAAGTACCCAATTAATAAAAAAAAATATTACCCAAAAAAAAATATTACCTGTCTAGTGTCAGGTCTCCTCTTGCCCCGAGCTCGTTTAGGCCAGGGTTTCTTTAAATGCACATAAGTGATATGCGCGCGTTTCTCACTCGCATGCTTGAACCCTTTGCCACACATCTCACATTTGAACGGTTTCAGGCCCGTGTGTATCTGAAAATGGAAATTGTTTACAATTCATTATTATTTTTATTATGTACTTGACTATTTGAGGCAAGTGGAATAAATAAAGAATGGTTTAAATTACATAGTGACAAAAAGAATTAAAATTAAACTGTCAAACACCAAGCGGTCACCGGTGACCGCAACCTATTGTTCTATAATTGTGTCTGCAAAACCGGTACTCGACGAGTTAATAAGAAAATATATATAAATAAACTTTATTATTATTATTATTCCATATATTTATTTAAAATTTCTCTAAAATTACATTTTTAAATACTACAGTATAAAAAATAATATTTAAAAATATAAAAATAGGAGCCGACCAGTAGTGGGAGCATGGTCCAAGCTACCGGTGGTTAGGGCTCCAGAGATAGAAACCTCCTCACAATGCGCGC